TGACTTTAAAATAATTCAAATTGAAAATAACATTTATTAAGAATCCCAACTGGCCAAAGGCAAACCAGTTGGCTATATTACAAGCATGGCCGAGGATTCGAAACTCTGGGCTACTGTGAAATAAATTCAGGTAGTGACCAGGGCGGGACTTGAGCCCGGGAGCGGCGGATTGCAAGACCGACATGCTGACAACTCGACCATGCTGCCTTCGCCAAGACGAAAAATGTAAAATAGTATTGGTTAAGCAAAAATGCAAACCTCAGGTATCGTGAGTTACATTCGTTTACATCACTGGTAAGTAAAAGAGAAATTAACTGACCGACTGACTGTACAAAGCAACTTGTCCTTCCATCTCCTTCGTAACCATGGTTACAAGAACAGTTGTATGAACCAATAGTGTTTGTACATGTAGCTGTTCCACTAAGGCAAGTATGAACACCAACTGCACATTCATCAATATCTGTGAAATATAAAAAGCTACCTGATTATATTGTACACTTCTAAGTGCGTATTTGTCATAGGCCCCCTACCCCATTAGATCTTAACACCTCTAAAAGTTTCTTATAAATCACAGCGTTGAACTAAATGTCTAAGTCGCATGTACTCTATCCTTTAAACAGTTACCTGTCTCACATTCGTGGCCAGTGAATCCAGAGGGACATAAACATCGATATCGTCGCCTCGTAAAACCCGACTGACAGATTCCCTGGTTCTTCCATGGGGATTGAGCACAAAAATTATTCAAGAAAAAAGGTTGAACATGAATAATCTACTGAAGAGAAATGTGCATAACTTAGAACATCCACTGCTTCAAGCAACCAAAATAGACTAGGATAGGATTAAGTAAATAAATACATAAGGAGCCGGTAAGCAGCTCAACGAAACCTCTTAATCTACAGTCAACACCCTTGCCAGGAGGACACTATGTCTTCGATCTGTTACTACGTTCAAGGTCAGTTTGAAGGAAAAAGTATGTTAATCGTTTTAGCTTCTCTTGAAAGGAATTTCCTATGATGTATGATCTTATGCTTTTTACTTACTCTTGCGCAAACTAGTAAACTATTATAAAATCCAAAAAATACTTTCATAAAATCGGTGAATAAAAAATGCTACTTCCAACTATAAAATTTTAAGCCGACGAAACAATTGCAAATGAAATAACTTATAGAGGTTGTTCTTCACTGAATAAAAAGATGTATAAGAGTTTTTTCTATTAAGAATCGAGACAAATGGATCACTTTTTTAAAGGCCCTAAGCGTCGTCCAGGGTACAGAACAAATGTCTATTGGTTCTTACTAATCTACGAAGGGTACTCGATGGCGCTATCTATAAGTAATACATGGTCCATACAAAGTCCTTTCTAAATATGGCTATAAAGAGCATCCGTTCAGCTCTCATTCAATGCTGAAAGCCAAGTAAATGAAAGTGATAAGTAATCGCTCGTGCCTTCGTTCCATGGTACACGTAGTTCGTTGTTTTCACCAGATCGTCCTCATGTTCTTTACCCGTGGAGTTATTCAGTTCACAGCTGTGTGCTTCTGCTCCATTTTGCCCAAAATAAAAGTTAACACTGACACAGTTATGGTCGAGGTAACAACGATATTTACACGTGTCTCTGTCAATCACACTGATGTCTGCTATGGTGTGGTTAACAAGACGTTCTCCCACGAAGAACAGAGTCGATGGAAATGTTAAGATACGACAATGATCTAAGAATGAAATTAATAAAACATCAAAATGAATTGGTTCTACCCCTTGAGAGTCTCCATATGTCGTTAGGCAGGCTGTTTGAACTGGAGATAACAATACGTATATCGATAACTCCGACTTTTCCCCGGATTGTCTATGTTAACACTGAAATACCCACCTTTATTTTGAGACAGAATTTGCATCCTATGCCATCAGTGGTTTTTCCTAATTGGTAAGTTCGCTCGATTATTTGACCTCCAAAAGCTTATCAACCGTTACTCAATAAAAAATGTAAACTTTATTAAGAAGTCCTCTGTTTACCTAGCGGGCAATCGACAAGCTATTCAAGAATCAAATTTGAAAACTCATCAGGTATCTTACGAGCAGAAGTGAATTATAAACAATTAGTAAAGCCCACACCTTAGGGGAGTTAAAAATTTCATAACTGCTGCTAACATTAATTTACTATTTCAAATGGAAAAACTAGTATGATTTTTCCATTGGTGCACACATTGTTTTTAAACAAGAATTTCCCTCACCTGATAAGAAAGGTTTTTTTCAATAACAGTATCAACTATCTCTTTATAATCAAGATAGAGGTCATAGTTTTACAAGATACACTCGATTTAGTAAGAAAAATGCCAGAAATTTCTCGAATATAAAGGTTTACTTTTCGCTCAGAGATATCAAAGCCTTTTCATCACCGTTTCAATACTTCCAGTCCCATGGGGTCTCTCTTGAATATACTAGAAAAATATAAACATAAGTGGAATGTGAAAGACCTTACGAGAACTCTGTTGGACAAACTGGGGATAAAATGAGTAGCGCTCAGTGGGGTACTTTCAAAGGCAGATATTTTTTTAAACGGAGTAGAAGAATATGTTTCCCTATAGAATCAAAAAAATTTGTTATAGATTTGTAGTCACTGTATCAATTAAGTCTTGAGAGACTTGATGTTCAGTCTTTACACTTTTGCATTCCGAAGTTTTTTTTTTTCAATAAACTGTTGAGGAAAAGTTTACCACACGAACAGACACAATGTTGAAACTGAATTTCTAAAAACAAGAAAGAAATGTTACCATCGTAGCAGCATAAAACTTTCCCAAGGGGAAGAAACAAAGAGATTAAAAACAGATGAAGCAAAAGTACCATGTTCTCAGAACCTGGCCAAACAGGAACCTCAGTTCGGGAGTGAAAGAAACGTTTGGCAAACCTGCTATTTAAAGATTAACTGCTGATTGAGACTTTTACAAGGCTTCTTACTTTAATCCTCTGGGGGCCTGACAGAATATTTGCTGTGTATAATTTTTTTTCTCCCTCTCTTTTCTCCTTTTTTTTTAAACCTGTTATATTATATTTCACCTGTTATATTAGGGCCTTCGCATTTCCGCGATACATTACATTTTTGTTTTGAACAGACATTTTGACTTTCGTTTTCGTCTTATTTCCGTTCACAATAATTCCAATTAATCCTTCTTTCCTACTGCCAAAAGTAAAATCTTTATTTACAGGTGTTGCATCATCAAACGAAGGAGGAAAACATTCACACGAGAAGACAAAACATGGAACCGCGTAATTTCGACACCCGCTAACTCGAAAGTTCCAGAGATGGTGAAAAAGAATCACCTCATCTACAAATACAGAAGTCAGGAGTTGAAAACCCGCGTCAAATAAAAGAAGAAAAGGCAGCGTTTTCTAAACATCCAGAAAACATTTTATTCACATTTTACTAAAAGAATCTTGGAGCCAAACCGTAGACAGAAAAATGAGGGACTGGTTACCTCTTGGCTGACTGGTAACCAACAATAATCTCTCGCCGAGTCATTATGTGGATAGAAGCACGAACAGGACGAACTAGCTAACTAACCATTGACTAGCTCTGGGCTTACATAGATTTAAAAAGGTTAGATGTGATTGTATCTGGGAGAGCAGAATGCTTGTTATTTCTTAGAACATTGAGTTACCCACTATTTTACCCTAAAAGGACAACGGAACGCGCAAAATATGCCACGGTCATACTCTGCAGAACGGGGCACAAATACGGACGTAAAGCAGAGGAACACAATGGCCGCGTTGAGAAATTCAATCTTTGATATTTTTGTCTTTCGCGCACG